GGTCATTCTCCTTCACTCTGCTGCCTTCATTCTGCTGCAACATAGCTTCTTGCTGTGTTAGTGGAAACCAAAATGACAAGACCAGTTGGAATAATGCTTGACGATTACCCTGGTAATAAAACAGTGATAGATAATGTATTCTGAGTCCATGAGCTAAGCCCTGTGCTAAGTAACCTAGACACATGATCATCTCTCTCAGTAATATATTGAGTGAAGTGGTTGTCAGGAAGTTGATAAAAGATGAAAAATGAGCAGACAACAATGTGAGTTAGGTGGAAGCGGCATACAAGGAGATGGAGCCCTTGGAGGAAAATGGTGAGAAAGAGGCAGTCAGAGCTCTTATCCTTGCATATACCTTAAGTAATGTGGAATTAAATACAGCCTCTACAACTTCTTTTCTCTAACTTCTACATATGAGAGAAAACATGACCCTGACTTATTCCTGCAAATGACATAATTTTTTTTTATGACTCAATAAAACTCCATTGTGTCTATATACCACATTTTGTTTATCCATTTATCTGCTGATGGACACCTTGGCTGGTTCTGTAGTTTGGCTGTTGTGAATTGTGCTGCTGTTGTAAATATGGATATGCATGTATCACTATAGTATGATGACTTTCATTCTTTAGGATAAATTCCAAGAAGCGGTATAGCTAGGTCTTATGGTGCTTCCTTGCCTAGTCTTTTGAGAAACCTCTACACTGATTTCCATGGTGGTTGTACTAATTTATACTCCTACCAACAGTGTAAAATGTGATTTTTTCCCTACATCCTCTCCAGCATTTATTATTGTTTTTATTCTTGATAACTGTCATTTTGACTAGATTGAGATGAAATCTCTGTGTAGTTTGACTTGCATTTCTAGTTATTTTGAACAGTTTTTCACATATTTGTTTCTTCATTTGAGAAGTCTGTTTAATTCATTTGCCCATTTAATAATTGGGTTGTTTGATTTTTTGGTGTAAAGTGTTTGAGTTCTTTATATATTCTAGATATTAACCCTCTGTCATAATAATAACTAGCAAAGATTTTTCTTTCAGTCTATAGGTTCTGTCTTCACATTCCTAATTGTTTCCTTTGCTGTGCAGAAACTTTTTAATTTGATGCTATCCTATTTATTCACTCTTGGCATTATTTCCTGAGCTTTATATTGCCTGTTCCTAAAAGCTGGAATTCTGACCTATATTGTCTTCTAGGAGTTGCATAGTTTCTGGTCTAATTCCTAGGTCTTTGATCCATTTTGAGTTGTTTTTTGTGTAAGATAAGAGATAAGGATCTAGTTTCATTCTTCTACATATGGATAACCAGTTTTCCCAGCACCATTTGTTAAAAAGGCTATCTTTTCTCCCATGTATGTTTTTAGCACTTTTGTCAGGGATCTGTCAAGGACTGTAGATGTGTGGGTTTGTTTCTGTGTCTTCTATTCTGTACTGTTGGTCTATGTGTCTGTTTCTATGCCAGTACCATGAAGTTTTTGTTGTTATAGCTCTGTAGTCTAATTTGAACTCAGGTATTATGATGCTTCCATCTAGCATTGCTTAAAAAAGGCTTTGAATTGCTTTGGATATTCTGGGTCTTTTATTTCCAAATGAATTTTAGGACTTTTTCCTAGTTCTGTGAAGAATGTCTTTGCTATTTTCATGGGGATTGCATTGAATCTTTATATTGGTTTGCTTGTATGGCCATTTTAACAATATGAATTCTGTCTATCCATGAACATGGAAGGTCTTTCCATCTTCTGAGTCTTCAATTTCTTTCTTCAATCTTATTCTCTAGTTTTCATTGTAGAACTCTTTTACTTTCTTGGTTAGATTTATTAGTAGTTATTTTTTTGAGGTTATTGTGAATGGAATTGTTTTTCTGTTTTTTTTTCTCAGCAGATTCATTCTTGGTATATTAGAAAGCTATTGATTTTTGTAAGTTGATTTTATAATCTGCTACATTGCCAAATTTTTAAAAAATTTGTTCTAGCAGTCTTTTGGTGAATTTTTTTGAATATTCTAAATTAAGACATATCATCTGCAAATAGTGATAATTAGACTTCTTTTCCTATTTTTATCCCTTTTATTCCTTCTCTTGCTTAATTGCTGTGATTAGAATTTCTAGCACTTTCTTAAATGGGAATGATGAGAGTAGACATCCTTGTCTTGTCCCAGATTTTAAAGGAAATGCTTTTGTTTTTTCCCATTTACTATGAGATTGGCTTTGGGTTTTTCATATTTAGTCTTTATGATGTTGAAGTAGATTCCTTCTATTCCTAGTTTCTTTAGTGTTATGTTAAAACAATAAGTGGGTGTTGAATTTTTTCAAAGACCTTCTCTGAATCTATTGAGATGACTAAGTGATTTTTGTCCTTAATTTTGTATTTGTGTGATAAATTACATTTATTGATCTTACATCTCTGGAATAAAACCAACTTGGTCATGTTGTATAGTCTTCTTAATGTTTTTGAACATGATTCCTTAATATTTTATTAAGTATTTTGCATTTATTAAGTTCATCAAGGATATTGGTCTGTATTTTTCTTTCCTTGGTGTGTCCTTTGTAAGAGACTTTTTGCTGTTTTCCCAGACCCTAGGTTAATCCCCCTCAAGTATCTTTCAGACTATATCAATTTCCTGAACAATGTTCTGTGGTAGTAGAGTTATACTCCACATAAGTTAGCATTTAAATTTCTTTGCACTCTTTCAATCTTTACTTTCCTCTCCTTTTTTTTACTTTTTACTTCCCTAAATGGAGCCAAATTAATTTGGTATTTAACCCTACTTATTGGTTTCTTTGTTCTCATTCTCCTTATTATGTACTCTCTTTTCTCCTGGTGTGCCTTAACTTCTCTGCTGGTCTTAATCTCTCATTCCCTTCAATGACTGACTTAATTTAACTCTTTTTAAAATTACATTTTTGCATCCTTTTAATATTTAAACATTTAGTTTGTCTAGATATAATAAAGTCTATGATACCCTGCTCTTGATGCTGATCTTTTTTTGGACATGCGGCTTTACATCATTATTCCATTTGAGAACTATTATTTCTATATTTTTTATAGATCTCTTTCTACCTTTGGCAGAATCTTTTTTGGGAGATGTTGGGGGGTACAGGGGATTGAACTCAGGGGCACTTGACCACTGAGCCACACCCCTAGCCCTGTTTTGTATTTTATTTAGAGACAGGGTCTCATTGGGTTGTTAGTGCCTTGCTTTTGCTGAGGCTTGCTTTGAAGTTGCCATCCTCCTAAGCCACTGGGATTATAGGTGTGTGCCACCATGCCAGGCCTGTGGCAGAATCTTGAACATAATAAATATTAAATAAATATTCATGGCTGAGAGATCTAGAAAAGTTTATGAAGAGATGTGTAATATTTAGCATTATTTTTCTTCAGTTTTAAAAATGCAAAGTTATGCCTTTTATGTCATTATCTGGTTTTAACTTCTTATTTTTTTTAATTTTATGCCAGGTTTTAAAGACAGTGTTCTCAATACAGTAAAATGAAATTTGACAACATATTACTATAAATATTAAATTTGGTTTATTGAACACTAGCTTCTCAATATATCAGATTCTCTAGAGAGAGGTTAGCTTCCTGTATGCTTGCTAGGCATTTTTTTAAAGGAGTAATAACCTTAAAGTGTTCTCACTATGTGATAATAATAAGATCTTCCACAATTTAAAAGAGACATAGTTACAACACTCAGAATAAGAGATGGTGACTTCATGGTTTCATTCTTTGTCCAAAGCTGTGCTTCTGTTGCTGACTCATTCTTAAATGAAAGCATTTCTTTCCATAATTTTCATGTCATCCAAAGTCAATATTGGGAAGGAAAGAAGGATTATTAGAGTAGAGCTTGGTTGAGAAGGACATAGGCAGAAAGCAGCTTCCAAGATCAAGAGTTAGCTATCTTGCCTCCCTGCCTTTCTTCCTCCCTTCTTCCTTCTTACCACAAGAGCAGAGAATTGGCTTGAAGATAGTCCTTAGTTCTTAGCACTTCATTAACTTTGTCAGTATAAAGTTATTTTCTTATGCTTTTAACCCTTTATCCTCAAGCCACATATTCATTCCTTTCCCAGCTCAGATGCATCCACTCCTATATGTTTTATGTTTTGTCCTACATATTTGCTTGCAGGATATATAATTATGTGTGTGTGTTCAGTCTTACATATGGTATTTGTTATTTTTACCAAATCAGTATATTTAGCAATTTTTAAAGATGTGTTCATATTTATAGGCACATCTAAAGTGTGATTTCTAAAAGCTACATAGAATTATTTATTTATATCCACTCCATGTTGATTTTTCATGCTCCCAATATGGAAATCAATGTTACTTCAAGCTCCTGCTGCATTATCATCATGGTGAACACTCTCACACAGGTCTATAGTATGTAATTTGCATATATATAACCTTATTTGAGAATTTCTTAGGGATTTATTCCCCAGAGAGGGATCACGGGATCATAGAGCCTATACATGCTTAATGTCACTAAGTATAAATAGATCAYTTAGCAAAGTGGCTGTATCGGTTTATATTCTTACCCACAGTGCATTGATTTCTTGCCTCCCCACATCTTTTCTAACTTTGCTATATCTACCATCCTAATTTTTGCCCTTCTGATGGGTATAAAGTGCTGTACCATTATTTTAATTTGCATTTTACTCATTTGCTTTACTCTGAATTTAATCATCATTTTATATATTGTTAGCCATATAGGAGTAATCCCTTCAGTTTTAAATGTTATAAAATCTTCTCCTTATCTTCATTTTTCTTTATTTATGACCCTAAAGTTGAATACTTGGGAGATTTAGTAGGCCAAGTATTGAACTAGCACAATCATTTATATTCACATGGTTTGTTTAACTCTAGGGAAGGCTGAAAAATATGGTTTAGCTTTGGACCCGGAAGGAAGAGAAAATGGGTTTGGTGAGCAGCAGCAATTACCATGCCATATTAAATGTATTTAAAATAGTAGAAGAGATAAAGATCAATTAATTTGTTTTCTCAGGAAAATTGGGCCGATTTCCACCTGTAATGCATCATCACCCTGYACCCTCAGATGGCCCAACCCCTGGGGCTCGTTTCCAGAGGTCTCACCTTGCAGAGGCATTTGCAAAAGCCAAAGGATCAAGTGGAGGTACTGGAGGAAGTAGTGGAAGAGGCCTGATGGGGCAGATTATTCCAATCTATGGCTTTGGGATTTTTTTATATATACTGTACATTCTATTTAAGGTAAGTGGAATCATCTTAATTATATCATATTTTATGAGAGAAAATCTAATATTAGTCTAATAAAAATCATCTACATTTAAAACTCTTTAAAGTTTATCAAACTCTTTCAAGTCCATCATCTCTTTAAACCTTGCCTCCTCTTTGAGATACTTAGGATAGCCATTATTTCAGCTTTACCGATGAGAAATCTTGGCTCAGAACTCGAGTGYCCCACAGTTAACAACTAAAAAGGCAAAACCAAGACTTGGGCTTGGTTCTTCCAGTTTCTAGTCCAATGAGAAATGTGATTTAAAGCCAAATTAAAAATAAAAAAAAAGGACTGAGTATTTTTGCAAGCTGAAGAGCTTTATTCTTAGGGTTGGCACAGTGATTTCCAGGTAGCCACTGTGAGACCAAATAATGATTGTACTAATATGACTTTGTTTTCCTTCTCCCCACACTAATATGCCATTGCTATTTTTAATATCCTCTCTAGTAATTCTCCTAGGACAGAACTATCTTATCTTGAAACTGAGCTTGATATTTCCTAGTTCTGGGGAGACATGGTGTGGGTCTTTTAAAAAGAGATTTCCAATTAAATTCCACCTCTGGGCAGGCTTTTGTAGGCCACAGTCCTATGCACTATCAAGTAGAGATAGAAGCTTCACTTTGTACTCCTAACTAGAGTAAGGTTAGGTGATTTGAGTTTCTTCTTGCCCAGGAATGCTGCACACCACCAGAGTTGATGCCCCTGGGGTTTAGCATCCCCTTTAAGATAAGCATGGGCAAAGCAAATGACCTGTTGGAAGATTTTTTTTTTCCCTATACCTTAATAATATTTACTTGGGTACCTTCTCAAATCTCTCAGTGGCTTTTAAAAAAAGATGTTTCTCTAATACTGCTACTTCATTTGATTTCTGACTTAATTTTTATCTCCCAACCTTTTTTTTTTCCATTTAATATGAGGGTTCCATGACTTTGAGGTTCTGAGCTGCTGTTGATGTGCTGTACCTCCTTCAATTCTCAGCTCTCAAAGGGGAAAACTGCAGAGGATCGGAAATGCTCTAGTGTCACACCTGGAAACACCCACAGGAAAATTAGTAAGTGTCTCTTCTCAATAAATTCACAAGTGTTATTGAGTCAGACAGCAGTAATATAGTCAGAGGGACAATCTATGGTATGTCTTAACAGCATTTCTTAAACGTTGTTCCAAATTCATCTGATGCTGTTTTTATCTTAGCTCTGGGAATTCTCAAAAGTTTCCTTATTGATTTTTGGGCTTTTAAGGGAAGGATGCTACAGAAAGTACAGAACTGATAGTTTACTGTTTTATTGTATTGGGAAATTAGTATTTCACATTCGGAATGGGTTACTTCTCATTTCCATACCTCAAAATATTGGTAGCAGATACCTTTATTTCACAGAGAGGATAACTGAGGCAGAGAAATCACATCATTGTCCAAATCAGTTATTAGCTCTAAGGAAAGAGTGAAGATTTGAGGCTCTTGAAACATAATCATCAAATATTTATTGCCAAACTAGAGTATTCTGTGCTCTCTAGGGAGATGAAATGTATATAGCATAACTTTTTCCTCTAAGAATTTATAGACTAGAAAGGACATCAGGAAAAATAACCTGTGAAAAGTTTAGAAAGAAGGGACTTACCATAAGCACGATGGGAAATCAGTTTGGGTGGCTGTGAAGGAGCAATCAGATGGCTTGAGTAAGATATTGGCAAATACAATTTCTTGAGCTTATGGAGGTCTAGAGGGTGTTGATGTACTACAGCTGTGGGAAAGAAATCTTGAGTGGATTAAGACCAGATTGCTACTTTCTCCTTTGAATAATGAATCCTCATCAGACATTTTTAAAGAAAGGTATCAGCAAAATGAAATGAGGCTGAGCCACAGAGGCATCTTGCTTAGTACATAAAGGCTTTGGATTCCCCTGGATTCTCTGTGAAATTAGATATCTCAGTCATATTCTGCATCCTTTTTGGAAACTTAGTCAAGGAGTCCTTGAAGAAAGCAGCTATATGTTTTTAGGAGAGATAGTGATGATAAATATATCAGTAATTTTTTTAAAAATTTGCTCTTTACAGAGTAGCAAGTTATATATCTTGTCACATAATGCATTTGAGACAGAAGTAGATCAAATGAATTTATAAGAGCAGCTCTTTTGTAGTAATGGTAATAGTTTAATATAGCTTCTTATCCTTTAATTTTGAATCATGCAGGAAAAAAATAACCTAATAAGCACTATGTCCTGTAGACACTTTATAAATGTTAACTGTATGCATGAGAGTTTGTTCTAAAAGCATTAAAAGGCCTTTGAAATATTATATTTATAATGACCTTCTGAATATATTTGGGTAAGAGAGTACTCGAAGTATGAAATAGAAAAAGTAGATTACCTACATAATGAATAGCATTTCATTTAGCATTTTATTTTCCTACTGCATTAAAGTTTATTTCACATACTGTTTAAGTGATATATTTTTTCTCTTCAATAGATATATGTATTCCCAACTGACCCTGGTTGAGAAAAATTGCATCTGGGAATCAGAGTTACATAGCATAGCATGCTCTTTATCCAGATAACCAAGGTAGAAAACTTTGGGCAGAGGTTTTAGCACTGGTTGAGGAGTTCTTTTTTGATGAAGTCTAATGTTTAAACTGTTTTCTTACAGATATGTTTCAGACCTTACTTACAGATAAAACAGTACTCATTTTATGTCTTAACTCCTTTTCAAAAGTACATTATAGCTTTTGTACTTTACCCTTAAACATCATTTAGATCACAAATGTATAGTTATCGTCAGTTTCTTCTTGTGTGGCTATGTAGGGGTATGTTTTCACTCCTGGGTATTTTCTTTAGTTTGTCCTGCTATATCACTATTAGAGACTGATTTTATTCACCACTCACTAAACATCTATTCTATAGATCTTGGTATACAGACCTCTGTATTCTTTTTGTACTGATTAGACTAACTGGAGAGACTCCTGGTCTCTCTGAGATGAACCTGCCTGGATTACCATAGTGTCATGGTTAGGTTTTTCATGAAAGGGCTTAGGGAGTATACAGTTGCTGGTTCTTAGATTGATGCTTGTTTTGCAGCTAATTTTGAGCTTGTACAACTTCAAGAAAAACTGAAGGAGACAGAGGAAGCCATGGAAAAATTAATCAACAGAGTGGGACCTAATGGGGAGAGGTAGGTTTTCATCTAATAGGACTCATTTCCCATTTAGAGAATCAATTAAAATTTTTTTTCATTTCTTTGATATATGGACCACTTATTTTCATTTTGTTTAATTGTCAAATTATTTGTTATTTACATAATCTTGCTGAACATTTCCATTTTCATACTATCAAGCAACTTGTTTTTATGAGTTTAGTGTGTCACAAATTATTGTCAGAGTAAGGAAAAATGTGAGTAAATCCTAAAGGATAAAATAATCTGTTTTTAAGAAAGACAGTTTCCTGGCTATCTTAAAAAAAAAAAGTGTAATTTCAGTTAAAACCAGATTGTCGAATATTGTTTTTTCTGTTTGAGACCAGATGACAGAAGAGAGCAACTATCATCACATTAGGCATTTATTTGTGTTTTGTGTTGACTGACTGCCCATAGAGAATTAGACATGTAAAATAGGTGTCAAGAACCATACTAGCCTGTGAACTTCTAGTGCGTTTGGGTCCCTGGGTAAGGGTCGCGAAATCACCGGGACACAGGGGATGCAGAGCCAAGGCAGCAATTGCAACTGCATGCTGAGCTTTATTTGCATGTTTCTTTTATATTCTTCTTCTAACAAAGCAAGCAACTCTTCAGTAACACTTCACCCACATAGCCCAAATATCATACCTCATCGGATACACAGAGCTAAATTCAAGTTGTTCCTGTTCTTTTTGATAAGTACCCTCCTTCCCAAAGTTCTTTGTAGACATTATCTAATCCCCGAATGTACTGTTCCCAGGTCCAGTATGCAGGAAGCTTCTTCCTCTAGGCCAAACCATGCAGAAGCTTGTGTCTTGTGATAAGGGGAAGAGGACTTTTCCTCCTCCTAGCGAGGCATGCCTTCAGCTGACCTAAATCACAGCCACAGCTTTTTGCAAAGTGTCAGGCTGAGGGAGCTAAACTCTGCACACTTAAACCTTAATAATTTCTTCTTTTTTCTTTTGTTTTTCCAAAACAGCTTTCCACAAAGTTAATATAGAGGTTTGAAATGGTCTTATGCACATGCAGTATGTTATTACAAAAAGGATAATAACTAGGCATAACACTATTTCCATTTCTCCATCCGTATGGGTAACACTTTGAGCAACTCCTTTGGGATTTAATCCCTCTAACTGTTTTAAAAACAATTTAGCTATTTGTACAGCATCATCATGTTGAAACCCTTTTTCAAAAATTTCAAATATATCCTTTTGTAAAGAATCAATCACTAATCGAGCTGTTTCATTACCATCGAGATAATTTTGTATGGCACTCCATTTGTGTAAGCTTTGATTATATTGTATATTAGTTATACAAAAAGAAGTTGAGTTTTAGTCACATTTTAATTTAATTTCTTGTTCTAAGGTAAGTATCTTTTTTTTTTTAACCAATTAACTGTCTATTTTAGAATATTTATTTGAGTTTGAAGTCTAGAATCAATTTGAACCTGGGATAGCCATAACTCATGTGAATCTTTATGTCATTTCTCAACAAAATATTTTGTTTGCAAAGAAGTATGTAAAGCTATCCCTGAAACTGTAGCAACTGTAGCCACTGTTATAAGACTTAGAATTACAGCAACTACAACTTCCACAAATTGTTTAGTACGTTTTAACAATCATCTAAAAAATTTCAGAACCAAAGTATTTACAGGATCCTGGGATCATGGTCTTTGTAAGTTCACAGGAAGCCAAATGTGAGAGCCTTGTTGTAACAGCACAATGGAATAACCAGAAGGAATAGGAACAGATGTATTAATACAGGTATACAATTTACAATTAAAGCATAAAATTTTTTCATCAAAAGTAACATTTCTAATTAAGAACAGATATGGCATGGGCGCACATAKAGTTATATTATATTTTTTAAATACAGTAAAATTATAAGAAGCAGCAGATTGACTAGTCCCAGAGAAAGAGCCATTAGACAAGATTACAGGTTTAGTTGTAGCAGTAATCTTTCATAAATGTGTTTGTAAATGATGAGGGTACTGTACTGAAGCCAAGTGTGGGTCAGCAATTCTGCCATCACCCCAGGCCATTAATTTGTCGTTCCAAATGGTTTCATTTTATCTCTCTTTCGACGGGATTTTGTATGTAGAAGATAAATCACAAGCAGTAATATTTCATTCTGAACAATTTTTTAAGAACATCCCATAAGGATCCCACATGATAATATCCTGAAATATCTTTCCGAATTTACCTAAACATTCCTGCCATATAAAAGGGGAGTATCTCAAGTCCTGATAAGTAAAATCAGGGCACTCSGGGAACATAGGGTATTTTTGTTTAGTTATATTATCCCAAGTCATATTAATGGACCATGTAGACAGCCGTTGTAAACGGGTTCGAGAACCATTATTTCAATTTTTAACTAATATCCAATGTTGCCAATCTAATTGTAAGTAAGGAGGAACGCCCAAGCATATAGGTTTACTGTTATTATTCTTATAAGTGAAATTAAATGGTGTTTCATCATTTATATTTATATATGTTAAATTGTTCCAAGGGGAAGATAAAAGAGCAGGAGAAGTATATAAGGTAATATCCATGTTACCCCAAATAACGGGTTCCAGCAAAGGTGGATTGGGAATATAGGCCCAATAGTGAGTATTATTATTTTGTACTTCAGAAGCAGAAGACACTATCAATAATGCACACATGGCCAGAAATAAATTTTCTGGGGTGCAACTTTTCCCCGTTCGTTGTAGCACATTTTGCCCTTCCCCACTCAGCTTTTTAATTTGACCCCATGTAGGTAAGGGAGAGAAATTAGGATGTCGACGACGTTGGGCCCCAAGATGGAGACGCGCCATTTTTGTCACCGGAACATCAAGCTCAGGATCTTGATTCCTTTCCTCGGCTGGGGTAGTGGATAGGGTGCCCCCCTTGGTGTCGTTCTGATTGTGACGGGTCTGGATTTACCGCCCTGGGAGCCACTGTCGGTGTCCATTTTCTGTTGAAACATAAGTATAGCCCTTTCCTCTACAAAGTAAAATCCCTGGCTGCCATTTAGCATCTGTCGCAATTTTTATCCAGATTGGTTCATGAACTGTTTTTAAGGTTTTTTGCTCAAAATGTCGTTTTGCTCTTGTCAATATTTCTCCTTTTGGAAGATTAAGGACATTTAAAATGAATAAGGCTTGATGTAACAATGCTTTAGGTTGATTTTGTAAATGTCTAAACAAGTGCATATTTAAATCTGTCATTTTTTTCCTTTTTAATTTTTCTAATTTGTGTTTTATAATATTAACCTTTATGTAGATAGGGTTTTTATTAACTTAAAAAATACATTTAAATTGTACCTCAGTGTAAAAAGTAATATAAAACTTTATATATCTTATTGATAATAGGCCCAGTTATAGAACATTAAAGGATATAAATAAATCTCCAATATGTTATTTTTATAAGTCTAAAATTATCATGTAACCTTTTGGAGAACACCAGTTTGATAAAGGCTTTTTAAAGCTTTTATCTTAATGACTTACATATTTGGAAAATATGAACATATTTAATATATAAAGAAGAGTAATAGTATCATAATTACTATTGATGTTTTTATATTAATTAAGTTTAGCTCTTAAAGCAATAACATAATAGAATATTGTAAAATAACAGTTGTTATTTAACTATATTTGTATAATTTTTAATTTTTTTAAGATTATTTGTTCAAAAATTTACATATATAGCCAACGTACATAGACCTTCTTTATCATGTATTTAATTTTTTTTATTTATTCTTAGAAATAATTTTTGTAAATTTTTGAATTTAGGCAAATTATTTCATTTTAATAAGAKATATTTTGTTATTTGTAGTACATAATTAATCACATTTGTTTACCATATTATGAAAATATAGTGTCTATATATTAGGGATGAATATATAGAACCATTTATTTATTTATTTATATTATTTATCAACTTAAAAATTTATTAATAATGTTATCTAATGTAATTTAAGGAGTTAAAAGTATTTAATGGTATATTTAACATTTAGCATATTAACCTTGTAAATTAATTAGATATTTAACAAATATTTATAAACAAATAATTTTATGTTTAATTAATTTACTTATTTTATCAAAACATTAGACAAGTATAATGAACCATGTTAGCCATTTTGTTTTTGTTGTTGTTGAAGAAAAGTCCTAGAACCAAAGCATATCAGTCATTAACATGTTAAAGACATTTTTTATCTGTTTACCCAATTTAAATTGAACCATTTAAATTAGTGAATTAAAAATATTTGGATTTATTTTTTTTWAATTTTTTATGAGTGTTTTTTACATATATATTAATTTTTATATCATGTACATGATATATGGACATATACACAAACAGACATACAACATATAATACAAATGTGTACACATAACACAATAAAGGCCTTATAGCTATTTTAGGTGAAATTTTGATTGTAATATTTAAATATTTTACAGTTGATCAAAAATAGAACTGAGAAGAAAAACATTAACTTAGGTCTGTACATTGTCATTGTCTTTTTAAATCTGTCAATATGATCAATATTAATCCCCTCACACCGAGGTGGATGTGTCAGTCCATTAGCTGGATTAGGCCTGATAATAGGAAAAGCAAAGAAAGGAGTTTTGTCCTCATCGTCAGAAGGCTTTGAGTCCATTTTCTGGACAGCTTTTAAAGAAGCTGTCAAAAAAGGGTTAATGGCCGGAGGGGCAGAGGGCCTGGTTCCTGATAAAGGCCTAGAGTCCGCTTTAGCTTCTAATTTATTGAGACGTCCCAGAACCTCCTTCATAACAAGTTTGAATTGCTCCGAGACGGAACGATTATCAATCGTCGTTTTTACTTTTGTTTT